GGGCCGGAACTCTGGAAGTTCTCGCCTGCATTTACCACGCCCCGCATTTGCCATGGACCTATATATCGATATCACGTCTTTTCTACATAGCATTTTTATCATAGTTTTCGAGCATCACGAATTACACTTGCATTCGTGAATACCTTACTGTCTAGTGGCGTGAGCCGTGACTGACGTAACTCGTCACATACCATGATCCCACCTCTTAACTTACTCTTGGTCAAAGACGCGCTCGAACGCACGCCACAGACGCAGAATTGTCAGAGATAGGCATGTTTTCAAACGACAGGCCTCTGCGGCACTGGGTATTTTGTCAAAATTCCTCAAGCGCCTGGACCGAATCACACATGCGATTCTGACGGGGGGCAACGGGCGTCGGGAAAGGATCATGTGTTGGAGACGTTTTGCACTCATCAGGCAAGCAGTATGTAAGTGAGCATCAGCTTTTTTTCTTCAATCGAAACTCCACATTTAGCTCTGAACCAACTCATTTGACACAGAGCCGTCACAGAACCAAGTGTTCACCGTCAACAGCCTTCGTACCTAGGCGGATACCCAGCTTGCGAGCTCAGTTTTTCTCTATCTCCTCAACTCAACACTCTTCAGGTTCGCGCAATTCGACTCCCATGTGCAGCTAGTAACTCGACGAGCCAGGACGAGCCGCTGTCATACTTCCAGACAGTGGATACGAGACACGGCACATGGGGCCCGTCACACGCTTTCGAATAGCTCAACTCGGCTTTCGGATTGGCCGTGGTGCTGATCGTTGTCTTCCTCACTCACTCGCATAGGTGTGAGCCGAGCGCTACGAGAAATACTGACGAGGGAGACAAGGGCCGAGGAAGGATTTGAGAAACATCGAAACCAGTGAAATCGTATGTTCCCTTTCGCCGATCTAGTTCGGTGTTGATGCCATTTCAAGAACAGGATAAGGCGGAAGAAAGAGAATTATGGCCATGAGAGAGTCATGAACCGCCAGATCTGTTACTGCGTCAACTCAACAGTCGAGTAGGAATCTATCATCCGTGTCGCTTGCTTAGGACAATATATCAAGTCGCGAGAGCGTCCATTTTTCAAGTAACGGGATTGACCCTCTGAACGTCACATGAAACGTGCTGCAACATGTACAAGGTCGGAAGGTGCGTGTCATTTGATCAAGCCTGCCTCCACTCATAATCCAACCATCTCACCATGTTCGAACGTTCGTATAGATGTAACTGTTATGCCTCACTCCATCGATTGCCCGGATCGATCCCTTGGAGAGCTCGCATTCGTACCTGCAACCCGTGGGCAGCCCAGGCTTACTCTTTCCCGTCATCCATGTCTGACTCTCGCGCATGGTGGAAGAGCGCCGTCGTGTACCAGATTTACCCTATCTCGTTCTTTGACTCCAATGGCGACGGTATCGGTGATCTCAACGGTATTCATGCCAAGCTCGACTACTTGAAAGATCTCGGCGTAGATGTACTATGGCTCTCGCCCATCTATCGGTCACCTCTCGCAGATATGGGATACGACATGTGAGGACTGTTCCCTGCCTTCGTCTGTCTCTTCAACTCATTTCTAGCTCGGATTATCGCGACATTGATCCCCGGTATGGGACCCTCTCCGATTGGGACAACCTCCTGAAGGGCGTACATGACCGCGGCATGAAACTCATGTAAGTCTAACTGCTTCACGCCATCCGAATCGCCAGTGACGATTGTGGCTGTAGGATGGACCTCGTCGTAAACCATACGTCCGATGAGGTGAGTGATTGGAAGTAATCAGACAAATGCAAGGTACTAAAACTCGACTCGTCGATTGCAGCATGAATGGTTCGTCGAATCAAAATCGAGCAAAGAAAACCCGAAGCGCGATTGGTATGTTTGGCGCCCCCCGAGATTTGATGCTGCAGGGCGGCGCCAGCCACCGAACAACTGGCGATCAGTGTTCCAAGGTTCGCACTGCCACTGCACCCTTGCTTCGACGTCAGTAACGAACTGACGTGTTTTCAATTTCCCTTGTATTCTTTTTGGATGCAGGCTCTGCGTGGGATTATGACGAGGCCTCGGAGGAATATTACCTCCATCTGTACGTCGCAAAACAGCCCGACCTCAACTGGGACAATCCGGACGTGCGCCAGGCTGTGTGGGATCTCATGAACTTCTGGATCGATCGAGGATGTGACGGTTTTCGGGTATGTATGTACGTACTATGAGGACCATTGCTACCAGATATTCATAGAGCCATTGAACAGATGGACGTTATCAACCTCATCTCAAAAGTCGAAGGCCTTCCTGACGCACCCATCACGGACCCAGATCACGAATTCCAGCTCGCAAGCGCTCTCTTCGCGAATGGGTATACATCGAAGACACGTATCAAAATTATTGTCACTGACGAATGCTACCGAATGCTCTAGGCCAAGAGTCCACGAATACATCAAGGAGATGAACAGGAAGGTTCTTTCCGGTGAGAACTTCTCTCCTTTCTTTGACTGTATATCTCCTAACGTCATGCTGATGACAAGCGCACGACTTGATCACTGTGGGGGAGACGCCTTTCACCCACGATGCGTCGCAACTGGCTGCTTACGTTCTACCGACGAACAATGAGTTGAACATGGTATTTCACTTTGAGCTCATGGACCTCGATTCACCACGTGGTGGCGAGCACAAGCCGCTCATCCACCGAGATTGGAAGCTGTCCGAGTTCCGGGAGATCATAGGAAGGTGGCAGAACTTCAAGCGCGCTGAAGGATTCTGGAATACGTATTTATTTGTTTATTTTCGCGTTGGGAGTAAGTTTTAACCAGTAATCTCAAAGGACTTTCATCGAGAACCACGACCATTCGCGCTCCGTCTCGCGTTTCGGAAATGACGCGGAGAAATGGCGTGCGCTCTCCGCGAAAATGTTGGCGGTCTTGCAGATATCGCTGGGGGGCACACAGTACGTGTACCAAGGTCAGGAACTGGGGTTGAAGAACTTCCCAAGGTCCTGGGGCATTGAGGAGTACAAGGATGTTGCATCCCAGAATGATTGGAACCGGTGCGTAGCCTTTTCAATAAGATTACAAAAACACTGAGATGATCCGTCATAGCGTACTGAAGCAACGCACGGAAGCCGATGGAAAGGAGGTCGACATGTCCGATATATTAGACGGGTTTCAACGCAAGGCTAGAGATCATGCTCGTACTCCAATGCAGGTACTTAAGAGCTACCCAATCATTTTTGAGAGAATCCATTTCTGACATGTTCTACACCAACTTACTTTACAGTGGGACGCCACCGTTCATGCTGGCTTCACCACCGGGGAACCATGGATGCGGGTCAACGACGATTACAAGACTTGGAATGTGTCAGCGCAGGTTCAAGATTCAGACAGTGTTCACAGCTTCTGGAAGGAAGCTTTGACGATCCGCAAGGCAAACGATGTGCTCGTGCGTTTAATCTTTTACGGAACCCAGCATCATGCCGATTAACATTTCGCGTAGATTTATGGCGATTTCGTTGACCTTTGCCCGAAACATGAGCAAGTTTTTGCCTACACTAGAACCCTTGGGAATGCCACGGCTCTTGTGCTTCTCAATTTTACGGAAGACGAAGTCACATTGTCCCTCGGGTCAGAGCAGGATTGGAGCACCTTTCAACTTGTACTTGTCAACCTTGATGCGGAGAGACAGAAGGTGGGACTTTCCGAGGTCGTTCTGTTGAAGGGCTTTGAGGGCAGATTATTCTTGAAAGCATGAGCTAATAGTTTTTTTCTTTTTTCTGCATCCACCGAAGTCGATCAGTGTTGGAAAGGCTCAGAAAGAGAGGGCTGAAGGCGCTGTAGTGTAGTGGTTATCACTCGGGATTTTGACGCGCAGATCTTTCCCGAAACCCAGGTTCGAACCCTGGCAGAGCCTTACGAAGTCTTTTTCTGCTTGGACCTGAAGGATTGGGCATTGAAGACAGGGAAGAGACTGTTGCATCAAAGACTTGGATACTTGAAACCGAGGTTCGAACTCAGCTGAGCATTCTTATCATATTACTTCATGTTTTCGACGTTGAGTCCTGTCGTTCACTTGTGTCGAGATCGCTCGCAATTCTAAGGAAAGTCTTTGCGTTTGATTGGCAGCTTTCGTTGCCATCATCAACGCACTAGACGAGACCTAATGAAGCGCGGAAATCCGAGCAACATTTTGCATGGAGTTAGACAACTTCTCGAGCTTCGCGTCGCTCAACTTGAAGAATGATGCGACGCGTCAACGGCACGTGGCGCATTCACGTGCATGCCTCGAAATACAATTTGATTTACCGACTTGGTTCAAACGTTCAAAGACTCAAACACGTTATCTTCGATTCCTCGGGGAGGCTACTGTCTGTCAAGTTCGGAGCTTTCGCTGCCTAACGCTGCCGAGGTCTATATTGTATTTCCACAGGAACAGATGAATGCCGGTCATCTCGGGATACAAATCGACGCTACAAGTTTCAGAGGTTTTCTCAGTGATGAATCGATGATCGCTAGCTGGGCAACAACTATAGTACATGGGTGATCCTTCTTGGACATCGTTTCTACCTCCGTCTTTCCCCGCCTGAATTGCTATAGACAGGATCGATATTCATGCGGGTTTACTGTCTACATCACGTTTCGTTTGCTCCTGCTACATTTGCTAGACGCTCTGTCATGACGTGACCGATTGACGCGTACGGCAAACCTGAAGGGCCACATTATCAAGCTCTCGTCGATCTTGTTGCTTTGTGCCTGATGATGTAAATATTCCCCCCAAAGAGAGGCATTTGGTGGCATGGTGGCAGCTAAACCGCCCAAGGGAAGATTCAGGCCTTGCATCCCCTCTCAAGTTTCAAACAAAACACTAGGGGCTTCAAGTTCCACTGTGCTCTTGCCAGTGAGCTTATTCCTTCCTTTTGGCATTATGTCGGAAGGTCTGGTCTTCAAACAATGGAGGTTTGTTTGCATCGCCTCATGTCGTGGTCCAGCAGGCTTCTTTTCCATATGGTCAGACTCGAAAACTAGAGGTGAAATTTTCATGATATACATACATTGGTACTCAACGCTGCAAATGTAGCTTAGAAGAGCGTGAAGAACACACCGACAAGTACACATCGCGAAATCTCCTTATTTTCGTGATCTCCGCTGTCCACGCGGGTTGTTGGGGGTGGACCCACAAACGACTGATCTTGGATCATTCAGGTTTCGAATCGACGTCTCATATCGAGGGTATGGTTATTAGATTAGTGCATGATAAATGCACAGACGACCCTGGCCGACGCATAGGTGTCAGGACGGAGGTCCAACCGTCCAACGGAAGTCTGTCTTTTCAAATCGGGTTGCACGTCCGCCGTCGGTTTACCTCTCATCAGTGGACCAATAAGGACCTACACGGCACCGGACGTGATTGTCAAATCCGCCTCGTGTCAGTTACAACTGGATCCGTACTTCCTAATACAGACCTCATGCCTTGTACTTTCCCCGTATCTCACCCCGCCTTCCTCCTTATGCCACTGTTCAGGCATGCGGGAAAGGTACATTGATCTAAACGCGATCGATACTGCATCTGTGAGTGCGTCAATCTTCTAAAGAGTCGGTTATTGGTAGCCCTGTTGGGCATATATAACAGCTCGTGGCAGACTTTCGTGCTCATAATCGTCGGATTCTTGACTCTCGCTGTTTCCACTCTATCGGGGTAAGTGTGCGTCACATCTTTTCTGTCTCGCTTACCTACCAAGCCAAAGCAAAGAATGACCACCGCAGACATTATCGAAAGACTTGCCAGCGAAGAACTTCCTCCGACAACAATGAATGCCCGACGGCTATTCAGTAGCTTCAGCTGTGCGCACCAACCCCCATCTTCGCATTTACCAAACGAATTGCTTTCCGAAATATTCCTGCTAGCGGCTCATAACGACGACCAATACGAGACAATCTTGACGCCTATCACTGTATCTCATGTCTCTGCTCGTTGGAGGAATGTTGCCATTTCCACGGGAGGGTTATGGAGTACCATCATCATCACGTTCCCCACATCCCGCGGACAGCTTTCTCGTGCTGTGACATGGATAAAGCGGTCCAAAACCTGTCCTCTCGATTTCTTTCTCGACTTCCGCGATCCGTTGTGGGATTGGGAATTTGCAGAATCTTCACACAGATTTCGTTGGCAGGACATGGAGGCCATCCTGCGGCTCCTAATTGTCCACGTCCGAAGATGGCGACGATTCGAGCTCCTCGCTGACACATGGGCGCCTATCTTCACTTTTCTCCACTATTCGAGACGCGTTGACTCCGCACCAATGCTCGAAACCCTCTCCCTTTCGCGCTGCAATGCGTTTTTCGCGTCTACGAACGCGACATTTGCGCCTAAAGAGATGAAGGCTCCTCTCCCTCTATTCGGCGGCCTTGCTATGGAGCAGTTGCGTCGAGTTTCCTTCACTGGCGTTCACGTCGATTGGGCCGCATCATCGTTATGCAATCTGACTATGCTCGAGTTCAGATACCTAGCGTGCGACGTGACCCCCACTATGGAAGACTTTGCCGACATCTTAGTTGCATGTCCAGATCTTCGACATCTTACCATTATTGGACGGGGTCCTCGCACTCATATCCTTCCCTCTTCCCGTAATCCATCGCCCGTCGATGAGTCTGCAACCGACCTCTCTATCAAACCGCCTCCTTTCATTGAATTATTGCACCTCACCCACTTCACCTTTGGATTTCTCGACGCCAGCTACGCATTGGAGGTCCTTTCCATGTTTTCCTTTCCCGCCCTCGAGAACCTTACTCTAGAGGGTCTCGTAGACTTGGACTCGCTTCAGAGCACCGATGCGACATTGGTGTTAGAACGACTGACACGCCGCGATCCTCCTTCGACCCACCCCACAACTATCCCCTTTTCTTTATCTCGCATTCGCTCCCTTGAACTTCACGGCATCATCGCAACCAAGACAGCTTTCTTACGGCTCTTTAATGACCTACGAAGTGTGCAATATCTGGGCTTATTCAATATTCAAAACGACAGTCTTCGAGCCCTCGAGCCACCGACATCTGAAAGACCATCGATCTTACCATGCGCCGCTCTGGAGGACCTCGAATGCCGTGGCGTGGACGCAGGCGTTCTATCTAGCGTAGTGAAGGCACGCTCGACGACATTGCCTATTGAGCATGTATCGCTCGAGTCTGACAGCATTGATTCGTGTGATCGACAGAAGCTTCTCGATGCTGGCATCAAAATTGTGCATGATGTCTACTGTGATCTCTCCAGCACTGCTCCGCCATCATAGAACTCAAATTTAGTGCCTTTCTATCCCACGTGTATTCTTCAAAATGTATCACTAAGTATCCCTCCTCTTGCGGCAGCTAGAACGCCCATAGACTTACTGGCAGTTCGTTTCATGCATATCTTTATTTACAGTTCTGCGACGCAAAGCCCAATTGTAAACTATTCTTTTACATATCCACGTGTTCGTGCTCTCTAGGTCACTGACCGTGACATACGACGCTACACGACAGCGTCAACGCTGCTGATCTAGCCTAGGCCGCTTCCCCGAAAATTTGCTTGGATTTCCAATTTGTACCTAATTCGGAGCGCTCATTAATTCCCACATATAAAATACCCGTCTCTCGCTAGTGTTTCCTCGTAGATGCAGCCCCATCCCCATCAACGCGCTTCTCCGGGGTCACCCAACTCATATACCACCCCATGTCCAGGCAGTCCAGCAAGGATACCGATGTCCTTGTAAATGTAGGTTGGGATCTCGTTCTGAAGGTCACTCGTGTCGTTCCAGGGGCAATATGTTACGGTACGTGGAATTCTTACAGCCAGATATGTATGACAGAACTGATAGAATTTTGAAGGCATGTATCTCATTCTCATGAATCTTTTGGTTGGAATCTTCTGGTACGGCCACCCCGCATTCTTTTCTGTTATCTAGTTCCCTGACTGATGTTTAGTCGGCACGGACTCAAACGACGGACGAGCAACATATTCCTGCTGCTGGTCACAGTGCTTATGTTTTTGGGTGGGACCATATTCTTGTGTCTGGATGTGTCCGACCTAGTTCGACGCATGCAGATAATCCTGGTCAATAATTCGGATGAATCATTCCAACAGAAGCTGGATCGAGCAGATGAGGAACTCAAGAAGTTGGTTTGGACTGGCACGATGTTATTTGTTTTTATGGTTAGTCCACTAGCAGAGGAAGATAGAAGATTGGCAATTCCTCGATGCTCACCATCTACGTATACCAGTTGATTCTTGGCGACTCTGTAGTAGTCTGGAGAACGTGGGCGGTGTATCGAGAATCGCGAAGGTGGCTCGCTCTGCCCATCACTACTTGGTTAGGGTCTCTAGGTGGGTCTGCTGTCGACTGTAATATTTTCTGCTGCCCAACTGCTGCCTATCGTGCATTCGTCCAGCTGCCGGTCTCTTCGAATTAGGATGCCATATCCACACCGGTTGGGCCATCATCGATCTGTCTCCAGCCGCAGCCCCAGTCGGAGCAAAAGGTTGTGCTCAGGCCGACCTCTCGAGCTATACATTGTCTTTTGTTACCAATATCTTTTGCACTGCCCTGATTGCATTCAAAGCGTGGTGCGTTCTCCTGTACGGTATATCACAAAAGTCACTCTCATCGACATATGTCACTCCAGGCAACATAGAAAGCTCATGTCTGAGTATCTTGGCGCTGCACGGAGAAAAACTGCAGTGGAAAGGGTCTTAACGCTCATGATTGAATCTGGTTTCGTTTATCTGGTTCTCTACGTACGTAACCATCTTGACCACTCTTATGCTATGTATCACTAAGCTATTTAACTTGTAGACGCTGCAAGCTGTGCCGATCTACAATGCCAAATTGACGCCCATGGGGCTCTTTGCCTTCAATGTAGTCAACGCGATCATCCAACAGG